CTGAACTCTGGGCCTGGGTGCTGTCCCTCAGCTCTTCAGCTCAAGGCTAGCGCTCTACCACTTGAGCCACAGCGCCACTTCCGGCTTTTTTCTTTTTTGCTTATGTGGTGCTGAGGAATCGAACCCAGGGCCTCATGCATGCAAGGCAAGTACTCTACCACTGAGCCACCTTCCCAGCCCCTGCTTTGTTTTTTGAAAAATCTTTTTTTTTTTCCAGGGCTGAGGACCGAACCCAGGACCCTGTGCGTGCCAGGCGGACGCCCTTCCGCTGGGCTAAACCCCCAGCCCTGTGTTTTTTGAAAATCTTAAACAAATTTAATTTTTTTTCATTGTGACATTTCCACATATGCATACACTGTATTTTAGTCAATCACCCATCTGTATTCCTACCATTTTTCTTGCCCCTCTCTCCTCTTCCTTTATTATTTTTTAAATCATAAGAATTATGGATTAGGGTGGCTCAGTGGTAGAGTGCTTGCCTTGCATGCATGAGGCCCTGGGTTCAATTCCTCAGCACTACATAAGCAGCAAAAGCTGGACATGGCACTGTGGCTCAAGTGGTAGAGTGCTAGCCTTGAGCTGAACAGCTGAAGAACAGTGCCTAGGCCCAGAGTTCAGGCCTCAGGACCAACAAAAAGAAATTATGGATTAGGCTTAGATTCTGATGCTAACTGATAGATGGACATCCAGATGAAATGCATTAAACTAATATTATTATACAGGGTATTATAGGAGCATCAAAATGACAATTATATGTAATCGAAGGAATGTTCACCTAAATTGTGAAATGACATTCCATAATTAAGTGTGCTGAGAGTGTTACAAGACTAGCATATGTAGCCAGGTACTAGTGGCTCACGCCTGTAATCCTAGCTACTCAGGAGGCTGAGATCTGAGGATCATGGTTCAAAGCCAGCCCAGGCAGGAAAGTCTGTAAGACTCTTATCTCCGATAAACCACTAGAAAACTGGAAGTGGTACTGTGGCTCAAGCGGTAGAGCGCTCGCCTTGAGCTGAAGAGCACAGAGACAGCGCCCAAGCCCAGAGTTCAAGCGTCTCAACCCACAAAAAAAAAAAAAGACTAGCATATGAGAAACCACTTAAGTTATAGTAGAACAGTAAGGTTTGGATATTTCGAGGCAAAACAATGATTTCAAAAACTTCAAAAAAATTTTTTATGTTGGTCATGGGGCTTGAACTCTGCACCTGGGCGCTGTCCCTATACTCTTTAGCTCAAGGCTAGTGCTCTACCACTTGATTCACAGTGCCACTTTCTGTTTTTTTGGTGGTTAATTGGAGATAAGTGTCTTACGGATTTTCCTGCCCAGGCTGGCTTTGAACTATGATCCTCAGATCTCAGCCTCCTGAGTAGCTAGGATTATAGGTATGAGCCATTGGCTCAAAATATGTTTTTGAATATATCAGTAGGCAGGATTATTAGGACCATAAGAGCAATGACTCCTGCCCACAACCTAATTTACTTTAAAAAGGAAAATAGCCTCTTGAAACCAAATAATGAGCTGGTTTTAGAGTGGATATTTCTTAAATTTATTTTTTATTTTTTTTGTTGGTCGTGGGGCTTGAACTCTGGGCCTGAGTGCTGTCCCTATGCTCTTCAGCTCAAAGCGAGCACTCTACTACTTGAACTACAGCACCACTTCCGGTTTTCTGGTGGTTTATTGGAGAGATAAGAGTTTCATGGACTTTCCTGCCCAGGCTGGCTTTGAACCACGATCCTCAGATCTCAGCCTCCTGAGTAGCTAGGATTACAGGCGTGAGCCCCTGGCTCCTGGCTTAAATTTATTTTTATTTGCTATACATTAGTTGCATGTGGGAGGGGTTATTATGGTCTTTCTATCCATGCATATGCTTCTTTTATCATTCTCCCTTTCTCTCGCTTCCCCATTTCTTAGAATAATGCTATTAAGCTTCATTATTTCCATACATGCAGCTAAACTAGTTTGACCATATTCCTCCTCATTTACCCCTTCCATTCGGTCTCCTCATTCATTACTGCTGGTGCCCAGTCCCCAACAGAGCCAGTTTTACCTCCTGTCATTCTTTTTTTTTTTTTTTTTAGTGTATTCATTATTCTAAGATTCCACATAGGTGCTTCACATGTGTATACATGCTTTAACCCGAATAACCTTCTGTTGTTGTTGACATCTAAATAGGACTTTAAAAATTTGGTTCTGGGGCCTGGGAAGGTGGCTCAGCGGTGGGAGCGCTTGCCTTGCATGCATGAGGCCCTGGGTTCCATTGCTCAGCACCACATAAGCAGAAAAAGCCAGAAGTGGTGCTGTGGCTCAAGTGGTAGAATGCTAGCCTTGAGCTGAAGAGCTGAGGGACAGTGCCCAGAGTTCAGGTCCCATGACCGACAAAAAAAAAAAAAATTGGTTTAACATTCTGATAATGTAACTTTGAACAAATTGTTAACTATCTTAGAGGGTCTTCTGTAATATTGGGTAATGATAAGTATGTGAAAATTTCCAAACTATATATAGACTGTAAGTTAGTATGATTAATATAACGTTGTATGCTATAATTAATTGCTTAATTGTATAGTAATAAAACTTAAGAAATAAGGAAGTATATACAAATCAGAAATAGCAATCAATAGCCAGTCTTGATGGAAACTTATTGCTTGCTAAATAGGAAGTAGGTGCTATGATACTTTGCATTTTGTAGATGAGGATAATAAGGTTTTGTGAGGTCAGATTGGCTTAGGATATTGTCAAGAAAGACTTGGGGGCTAACATTGTTTGAAATGGGAAGCAAGGAGGGAGGGTGATACATACAATCTTTCTTTAGTATTTTAATATTTGATGTTCATCAGTTCCTTATCTCAAAGATAATTCTTGGGCTAGGAATGTGGCTCAGTGGCAGAGTGCTTGCCTCACATGCATGAGGCCCTGGGTTCGATGTCTCAGCATCATATAAACAGAAAAAGCCGGAAGTGGCACTGTGGCTCAAATCGTAGAGCACTAGCCTTGAGCTGAAGAACTGAGGGACAGCGCCCAGGCCCAGAGTTCAAGCCCCACAACCAACCAAAAAAAAAAAATTCTAGCTGCAATAAAAATAATTAGTCAGTCATGGAGATTCACACCTGTAATCCAGCACGATTAAGGTTGAGGCAGGAGGACTGCAAGTTTGAGGCCAGTCTGCTCTCCTCTGGGCATCCCCTCAGACAGACAGACAGATAGAAAGATAGATAGATAGATATTGTTTTATTGCAGATAGATTTATTGTAATCTAGAACATACTACTGAGTAAAATTTTATAAAGCAGTACATTTAATTATTTTTATATTTTTTGTAAAGCAGTATGTTTTAGATATAGTATAGTAGAGCTATAGCATATTATCGATACAGAAATAGCATAGTTTAATATAATTGGCTTACTACATCTGGGTCTCCATAGCAACAAAGTAGCTTTGCCTCTAAGCATCTTGCCTTCTCTTTCTCTTTCCCCTCTCTTTCCTTCCCCTCTATACTCTCCCCTACTTTTTTTTACTTCTCCTGAGTGTAATTTCCCAAAATTTAAAAGAAGTACTCATTACAGAATGAAATCTCCTTAACTGATGAATTCAGACAAAAGCTACACTTGGCAGATGCACAAGACGTTCCTAATACTTCTACCAGCTAAAGTGAAACACAGTTTGCTTTCTTGGGTTTGCGGAGAAGCAGCATTCGTATGTACCTTCAGTAGCTAACTTCAGTAGTAGAATCATCTTCCACACCAGGAATTAAAGTCATTAAAGTGCATTGATTGTTCCCCCTACTGCTTTTAGTATACTTGCTTGCTATAATTCACTGTAACTGGAGGTCAGGGCCTTGGGGAAGGCTTGCTTGGGACATGGAGAGGTCTGAGAGGTCGTGCTGCTGTGCTTTATACTGTTGCCTTACAGGGTTATACTTGAAATGCATTGTGCTAACTGTTCTTGATGGGGCTGGAGGGCACTACCCCCACCACCAGGGAGATCCTCGGTGGGTGGTGCCCTGACCCACTGCTTCAGTTGTGGTGTGGCAGCCCCGCTTCAGTTTACTTTAGACAATCAGTACACACACAGGTGTGTTTGCCAATGGCCAGTGATGACTAAATGTTAAATAAGTATTGTGAGATTTGCTATTTTTAATAAAGTGATTGTTTTAAATTAGTCTGTGTTGTCTGTCTGGAAGACCCTATTATCTTCAACTCCGGTTTAGTCTTCAGAAGAAAACTGTTGGTTAACACTGAGGTTTTATAAGTTCCCTGAAATTTCTGTACCTTTTGAGCACTTAATGGAGGTTATTTAGACTGTGCTTTGAATCCCTATTCTGGCCCTTGACTTTCCTGTACATGTGTGCTGACCCAGATGAGTTGAATTCGTGTATATGTACATGCACACACAAGCATGTGTGCACATATGTTGACAGGGCCTCTGTTGTTGTTCGTCACAGGGCTTGAACTGTGGGGACTGGGCACTGTCCCTAAGCTCTTTCACTCAAGGCTAGCACTCTGCCACTTTGAGCCACAGTGCTACTTCTGTTTTATCTGGTGGTTAACTGCAGATAAGAATCCTCAAAAGACCCCACATAGAGCTCCCCTATGACCCAGCAATCCCACTTTTGGGCATTTACCCGAATGATCACAAACAAGACCACACTAAAGCTACCAGCACAACTA